GGTGGGTGGTGCGTGGTGGGTGGTGCGTGGTGGGTGGTGAGGGAGGCTGTAGGAGTCTGTTTCCTGGGCTTGAATGAAATAAATAATTAGCCTCCTGTTGCCCAGCTGCCTGGCACGACCACGCATGGGCTCCGGCCCTTGTAGCGGAGTCGTGCGTGGGTCAGCATCTTCTCTGGCGTGGCAACTCCCGGATTTGTTGGCTTCGCACTGGGCACATCATAATCACCCCGTGAGCCCTGCCGTTGGTCTGATGTGAAGCCGGGGCTGAGGCCCGCGGGCCAGGGGCTGGGTTGAGAATTAGGGCCCTAGAGTGAAGCCGAGAGGGAGCGGAGATCAGCTCATCTACCTCCTCACCTCATTGGAGGAGACCGAGGACCTGTGCCTGAGGGAGGGACACGGGGGGAGGGGGTGCGCTGCCCCGGCCTCGCTAACAGGCTGCTGCTGAAGCTGCTTAGACGTGGGCATGGGAACTGGGGTGCAGCGCTCTCTGAATGAGAGGCGCTCACCTGGCTCGCCTTTGCACCTCAGAGGCAGCCCTGGCTTCAGGTCACGAAGCAGAAGAAAGATGTGGGGAAAGCGCATGTGGCTGTGGGTTGGGCCCGAGGAGCCAGGGGTCTCAGAACAGAGCTTAGCAGGGGCTTGGGTGGTCCAGGATGGGTGGTGGCGGTCAGGGCTGGGTGGTATGGGTCGGTCCAGGCTGGGTGGTGCGGGGAGGTCCAGGTGGGCGGTGCGGGGAGGTTCAGGTGGGCGGTGCGGGTAGGTCCAGGTGGGTGGTGCGGGGAGGTCCAGGCCCGGCGGTGCGGGGAGGTCCAGGCTGGGCGGTGCGGGGAGGTCCAGGCTGGGTGGTGTGGGGAGGTCCAGGCTGGGTGGTGCCGGGCGGTCAGGGCTGGGTGGTGTGGGGAGGCAATTGCACCTTTTTCCTCCTACACTTTCCCCTCTCCCCCGCCATGCAGCCCCCATAATTATCTTCTGCCTGTGAAAGCAACAAGGCGTCATTTACACAGCATGCCACAAGCTGATATATGTTAGGGTAAGAGAAACCTGGGCGGGGGGGTAGGAGCTCCAGGGTGCGTGGAACCGGGCTGCTATTCTAAATAGGGGCTCAGGTCAGACCTCAGGGAGAAAGTGAGGTTTGAAACTCAAAAGAGTTGAGGGAGGCCCCTGTAGTAGATATGGGAGGGCCCGTAGTGGATGGGGGTAGGGCCCCATAGTGGATTCGGGGGAGGCCCCGTAGTAGATGGGGTGCAGAGCCCCATAGTGGATCGGGGGGAGGGCGTAGTGGATGGGGGAGGTTATGTAGTAGATGGGGGGAGGGTATGTGGTAGATGGGGGAGGCCCTGGGGTAGTAGGGAGAGGGCCCCATAGTGGATGGGGGGAGGGTATGTAGTAGATGAGGGGAGGGTATGTGGTAGATGTGGGGAGGCCTCAGGGTGGTGGGGGGAGGGCCCCATAGTGGATTGGGGGAGGCCCCGGGGGGGGGGGGAGCAGGAGCGGGCAGAGGAGCAGCGTGCACAGGCCTGGAGTTTCGGGTGTGGAGACGGAGGAGACCCGGCTGCATGAGGAGGGGAGAGGCGCTCAGACAGGGACCAGGCTGGACTGAGGCCTCGGCTCCCCTCGCTACCTGTTCTGAAGGACAGTGTTTTCCCTAATTCATTGCAGACGAATATTTTTGTGAAATTCCAGGGAAATGACTTACTCAAAAAACAAAATTTAAAATAAACATAGAAAGTAAAAGCCTAATATTTTATATGAGAGGCACAGCAAGTTTCTCTTATAATTGCTATGCAGTTTGTGAATGTCAGCTTCACTTATGCCATGCAGACGAGTGCGGCATGGCCAGCATCCGCCAGGAAGCGCACTGGAGCTGTGGGGACGCATTGAGAGGACTTGACCTTTGCTCTAAGGCAGTGGTTCTCAACCTGTGGGTCGCAACCCCTTTGGGGGCCGAACGACCCTTTCACAGAGGTCACCTAAGACCATCGGAAAACACCTATATAATTACATATTGTTTTGGGGATTAATCACTATGCTTTCATTATGTTCAATCTGTAAGGATGCAATTGGGGGTCACCACAACATGAGGAACTGTCTTAAAGGGCCGAGGCATCAGGAAGGTTGAGAACCACTGGTCTAAGCAAAGGGGGAGCTGTGGAGCAGAGGACGCTTGTTTCAGAGGACGGGGTGCAGGGGCCCAGGGGACTCAAAGAGACCAGCGGTGAGACTTGCATCTCACAGGAGCAGGGGTGGGGGCTCAGACCAGGGTGGTGGCAGCACTGGAAAGAGCAGAATGATGAGTTGAGCCCACAGAACTTCCTGGCGGACCCCATGGGGCGTGAAGGAAAGAGAAGTCCATGGTGCCGCCGTGGCTTCAGGTGATTACACCAAAGATGAATTGCTGTCAGCGGAGGTTGGGAAGGTGCCGGCTGAGATACACAGGTCGGGGTCGGGTGGGGGGACTCAGTAGTTGCATTCTGTATATTTTGAACTAGACTTGCAGCCCCTAGCCCAGTGATGGCGAACCTTTTGAGCTCGGCGTGTCAGCATTTTGAAAAACCCTAACTTAACTCTGGTGCCGTGTCACATAGAGAAATTTTTTGATATTTCAACCATAGTAAAACAAAGACTTATATTTTTGATATTTATTTTATATACTTAAATGCCATTTAACAAAGAAAAATCAACCAAAAAAATGAGTTCGCGTGTCACCTCTGACACGCGTGTCACAGGTTCGCCATCACTGACCTAGGAGATCTGTCAGGTGAGAAATGTGTCAGCATCATGATGTTCCCTGAAGGCCTGTGTCCTGAAGTGGACTCTGGGGGCTACACAGAAACCCGAGAAGCCCCTGGAGTGTGCCTTCTCTCCTGTGACCTTTCACCTTCCAAGACAGGGCACAGTTGCTGTACTTGGGTCACAGGAAGTCAGTTTAAGAGCCTGCAGCGGAGGTTGCATCCTGACATGAGGTTCTCCTCATGCTTTATTCCACTTTGCTTTTGAGTCTAGTCGCCAGGAAGAAAGCAGTCTCCTCCTTGCAAAGATACCAAGTCTGGTCGCCCCTGGGTTCCGTGAGGACGCTGTAAGCAATCTGGCCACGTCATCTGCCACCCATTGGCTGCCAGGGCTGTGTTGGCTCCTCTATTACCAGTGATTGTAGAATTTATTAAACACACCTTAGCGACACCTAACATATAATAGTTCTTGATATTTTACTGCCCAGTGAATGAAAGGTAAGTGGTAAATGTGTCCAGAGTTAATGAGCCCAGTTCCTTAAAATAAATATATGTGCCCACCACATAAGATTGGACGGTATTGCAAGGAAATTTTACATGTGATTATTTCGGTGGAGACACGGAGTAGTATCTCATCTCGTACGCTTTTTGGTGTGTGATAAAGATATGTTTTACCCCCATCGGCCCCCTCCAGCCTGCCCCACCAGGCTTATCCGTTTATTTTGTTCATGAGATTCCACATATGAGGGAGATCATGTGACATGTAATACTTGCAACAATAAAGATTTTAAAAAATAAAAATAAAAGTATGTTTTACTTTAATAATTAGCAATAATAATGGCCATTTGGTAAAGAAAATGAGCACAGCAGCCACATGGCCCCTTTTCTCTCTGGCCCGCAGCTCACCATCTGCTACCTGGACATGCTGATGACCAGTGCCGAGCGCCGCGAGCAGCTGAGGAACCAGTACTGCTTCGACTGTGACTGCGCCCGGTGCCTGACGCAGGACAAGGTATGTGCCAGGTGGTATCCAGCAATCTTGCTGGGAACTCTAATGTCATTGATCCACACCTAAGTGACCGTCACTGCATCGTAGGAAGCGGAAGTGAATACAGGAGTGCACAGGGCTGCCCATGTTTCATTCACTGGAACTGTTATCACCCACCAGTGATGGGAGGTTTAACCTCAGCAGGGACCCATGGCGCACAGAGTCTGAGGGAATGTAGGCATTAAACGTGTCTCACACCCAGACCTTTTGACGAAATCTAGTGTATTTTCCTCTGTACCACAACTTCCTGTGGCCTCTGATGCCAGCGTTCATGGAGAGAAGGCCCATGAGCTCATTCTAATGCTGTAGGAACCAGTGAACATGATCTGTTTCTTATGAAAAAGAACTTTTAGAAATATGTGAATCAGGTGGGAAAAGGTGGACCCACTGCTAATAGTTTCCCAGGATTCCGTCTCCTTAGCGTCAGCCTTCTCCCACGCAGGCTCGGCGGGAAGCGTAGGGGCTGCCCTGGGCTTCTCCCAGACTCACCTGGAACGTCGGGCAGCGAGCTCGCTTCCACCCACAGCCTTGGATGGGGATGGGAAGGCCTTCGGATTCAGTGCCGCTTCCGTGACATCTGTATGGCGGACCCGCAAAAGTGTCTCAAATGTGTGCTTGTATTCTGTTCCAATTGGGGTCATGTTCGCTTTGGCTTATTGTTACAGTTGAAATCTGGCTAGAATGGTATATTAGGAGAGGGCTTGGCTACAGAAAGCCGATAACTGAACTGACTTTAGCAGGTGTATTTGTCTCAAGAATCCTAGAGAAGCTACAGCCCAAGACAGGAGCAACTTCTCAGCCAGCTCATCACAGGCCAGCATCCTCCGGTCTTGCTCCTCAGCCGTCCCTAGCATGTGCCTCAAGGTCCCAGGCTGCCTGCTGTCCCCACCCCTACTGAGTGTGTCCAAGCTCTGGACATGGAAAAGAAGAGGCAATAAAAACCAGAGAACAGACCAGCCAGTGGGGCTCAGTGGTTGAGCGTTGACCTGTGAACAGTCTTGCTCCTCAGCCACCCCTAGCGTGTGCCTTTTGTCCTCATGGTCTCAGGCTGCCTGCTGTCCCCACCCCTTCTCAGTGTGTCCAAGCTCTGGACATGGAAGAGAAGAGGCAATAAAAAGCAGAGAATAGCCCGGCCGGTGGGGCTCAGTGGTTGAGTGTTGACCTGTGAATCAGGAGGTCACGGGGGGGATTCCTGGTCAGGGCACATGCCCAGGTTGCGGGATGGATCCCCCAGCGTGGGGTGTGAAGGAGGCAGCCAATCGATGTCTCCCTCTCATCGATGTTTCTCTCTGTCTCTCTCTGGAAACTGGGTGTTCACTTTTCAGCCTTTATACTCGAGGAAGACAAGGGCGGAGGAGGCTGTGAGTGGTAGCCCATCGGCAGTGTCCACCGCATCCACTGAGACCATCTTCTTCCTCTCTGAACTAGCAGCTTGTTTAATATTGTATTAGGGTGCTTTAGAGAAAGAGAACTAACAGGGTGTGTGTGTGTGTGTGTGTGTGTGGAGGTGAGGAAACTGGGTGTTCACTTTTCAGCCTTTATACTCGAGGAAGACAAGGGCGGAGGAGGCTGTGAATGGTAGCCCATCGGCAGTGTCCACCGCACCCACTGAGACCATCTTCCTCTCTGAACTAGCAGTTTGTTTAACACTAGATTGCCCAAGGAAGTCATTTGCCACTTGTCATGACATGGACGGACCTTGAGGGCATTATGCTAAGTGAAGGGAGTGGGACGGAGAAGGACAAATACAAGGGAAGGAGGCTGATGGTCTCAGGGAAGGTCCTTCCAGCTCTGTGGTCTCATGTTTCTCTGAGATGTTTCCTAGTGACAGTGAGTGGGTGAGTGTTTAGTGTGAACTTGCTTTCAGTTAGTTCATCAGTTATATTGTAAGTTTCTATTTCCATGAGTTTTATTCTGATTAGCAATATAAATCTCCCTTCTAAATCGCCATGCTGTGGATTTGCTCTGAAAACATAACAAAGGTAAATCCAGCCTCGTGCAGTCCCAAACGATCGTAAATTCACAGTAAGTTCCGCCAGAAGCAAATTTACTTCAGAAGCAAATTTACTGTCAGGCTTATGTGTCTGCTTTTCTTGGAACCTAGAACCTTCGTCTAGGCCTCCGTTTATTAGGTGCCTGTGTGCGCATGTGACTGCTCTACTGTGTGTCCTGTTTCAGGGAGGCAAGAGGCTTTCAGTAGTGGGTGTGATTTACGTGTGTGGGTGAGTTGTCATCTGTAATCAGCAGCTGCTTAATTTTGGGGGGACGTCAAATTTACCTCCAAAGAAGGTTTTGGAACGATTTGGCTTCTCCTGTGGCTACCCAGCTCAAAATACAAGGCAATAGAAGCAGAACAGACCCAATGGAATTGAGTGTTTCCATAAGTTGTGTGTAATATGTAGCGTGCTTTTTGGGTGTCGCATGTTTTGTTGCCAAAAAAACCAAACAAACACCCAAAAGCCCATACTTCCTTGCCATGACAGTCTTTCTTCCTAAAGCCTGGCACAGCTGGTTGATCCTTCTGTTAAAACAGTGTCTTTTAATTTAGCCACAGCCCTGATGCCTCACTCCTCGATGGAGTGCCCCTGACTGGTCACCTGGCCCCCAGTCTCTCCCCTTCCATCCATCTCGCCGGCTTATAATGTTCCTTTAGACGCCACTTCTCCGCGCCAGAAGTCTACAGCGTGGAGCAGTATCTCTAGTCTTCGGGGTCAGCGTCTGGCTCTTACCTTGGCATCCACTGTCCTCCAAAGCAGGGGTCCTCAAACTTTTTAAACAGGGGGCCAGTTCACTGTCCCTCAGACCGTTGGAGGGCCAGACTATAGTTAAAAAAACAACTATGAACAAATTCCTATGCACACTGCACATATCTTATTTTGAAGTAAAAAAAGCAAAACAGGAACAAATACAATATTTGTATTTGCATGTGGCCCGCAGGCCGTAGTTTGAGGACCCCTGCTCCAAAGTCATGCCCCCATGATCCAGCTGCCTCGGTTTCTGGTCTCTACTTTTTTCTCTTCGCTCTTCTCTTCCTTTACGTAACCTTTGTATCTAATTAGACCCCTTTCTTCACCCCCAAGATTCTAACGTGGCCGACAGGCACACACACGCACACACACATAGTAAAGCAGCAACACAGTTTGTAATGATTGTGAGATAAGAGTGACCATGACTCAGCTGAAAGCAGGTTAGTACCCGGAGTGCACGCCATGTGATTTTACATACACGATGTGCTCCAGCTTTCCCAGCAGCCAAAGCTAAGAGACTGGTCTCACAACTCGCACCCGGTCCGCGGCCGGAGCACGGCTGCTCCTGGCACCGAGGCCCGCGGCTCACAGGGTCCCCTGAGGTTGATGGCCAACATTCTTATCAGAACTCCCCAGCAATGTAAATGGCCAATTTTCATAACATTCCTCCATGAGGCTGCTTGGCATAATTTCAAATTATAATTTAAAGAAAAGAAGTAACAAAAACGGTGAAGAAATATGTCATCTAAGTTCTCATCTCACTGATGGTTTGCTTCATTCCAAGAATATAATTAGACTAGAACAGGGGTGAGGAACGTCTGGCCCGTGGGCCGTATAAGGCCCGCAAAATCGCTTGGTCTGGCCTTGCCAAGGCATCAGGGGTGAGTTTGTTAAATGTTTGACCGAATACAGCAGGCCATCGGTTAAGTACTGTTGTATGGCCCGAGAATGATGTTATAACTATCCACATGCCCCCGGCAGAAAAAGGCTCCCCATATTCACGTTATTTGTCGTGGTTATTTTATTTTATTTTAATTGTTACTAAAGTGATACACGTGTGCAGTTTGAAAGTCGGAGTACTGGACCCAGATGAAACGTAATTAGCCTTGCTCTGTTTCCGCCCACGTCCTGCTCCCTGTGGTCAGCGCGTGGCTTCTGGCCTTTATTCTTGCCCCTGGCAGAAAAAGGCTCCCCATATTCACGTTATTTGTCGTGGTTATTTTATTTTATTTTAATTGTTACTAAAGTGATACACGTGTGCAGTTTGAAAGTCGGAGTACTGGACCCAGATGAAACGTAATTAGCCTTGCTCTGTTTCCGCCCACGTCCTGCTCCCTGTGGTCAGCGCGTGGCTTCTGGCCTTTATTCCATGTTTCCCAGAAATAATGCTCCCTTAAACCATGTCCCAGGGAAGGATTTGCTATTGAGTTTGTTTAATGACATTTTTAATTTCCCGGGTTTCGGATTCACCTTTTACCTGTTCTGTTGGATAACGTTGTGTTCACTCTAACGCGTGCCTCTCTGTTGTTTATTTTCTGACATTGGTCAGGCAGCGCCGTAGCTGATTTTACTGGACTCAGACCATGCTCTGCTGGCTGGTTTTCGCTGGTTACCTTCCTTAGCGCTGCATTTCACTGAGTGTGTTAGCGTTTGGGACAGCAGGCTCATGTTTGTTCCTTTCTCTCTCCCTGTGCTCATCCCTCCAGCTGGGAGCTTTGTACTTGCCTCTCCCAGGCCCGTCAGGCCCAGCTCAGAACTGGACTCAGTGGCGTTGGCACCTGCTGTGTCCCAGTGCTGTGGAGGCTGCGCCAGGTTCGGTTACTAGGAGATGGGCATCTGTGGCGAGCGGGCACGGCCATGGCACACTCAGCCCCACGCTGGGCGCCTTATGTGCCGCGCCACCTCAGCCAGGGTCAGTGAGCCTGAGGGGGGCGGTGAAGGATGGAGAAAAGACAGACAAGAGAAAAAGCTGGGTCTGGGTGGGACCTCTCCTCTCTGATAGAGAGCTAGCGACAGCGCCATGGACTCCAAGCCGTGTCTTTATTTTATAGCAGATTCCACGAGGCAAAGTAAGGGCGTGGTCAAGATGTTTACAACATTCTCGTGGGTTTAGAACAGCCATGGGCAAACTATAGCCCGCAGGCCGGATCTGGCCCGTTTGAAATGAATAAAACTATTGAAAAAAAAGACCGTACCCTTTTATGTAATGATGTTTAC